TGCTCTTAATCTATGTATTGCCTTTATTCTTGCTGCATAATATTTGCTGCTGCTGTTGCTGCTGCTGCTGCTATCGTAACTATTGCTGCTGCTGCTGCTGCTGCTGCTGTCCGAGAGCTGTTGATCGTTGTAGCTGCTGTTGCTGCTGCAGTTGCTGCTGTTGCTGCTGCAGTTGCTGCTGCTATCCATTGGTGGTGTCTGTCTCCTTGCTGCTGCTGCTGCAGCATTTCTGCTGTGTCTCTTTCTCTCTTTTCTTCTCTCCTTTTGCTTCACCGCTGCAGCAGCAGCAGCAGCTGCTGCTGCAGCAGTTGGTGCAGCAGCAGCAACAGCAGCAGCAGATAAACTATCAGGTATAGATTGCTGCAGCAACTGTCTCTCTCTTGCTAGTCTCCTTCCTGCTGTCTCCTCTTGTGTCTCCTCTGCTGTAAAGGAGGAGCCGCAGCAAGTTGCTGCGCTGCTGCCACGAGAGGGGACACTTTTCTGTCTCCTTTTCTGCTTCACCTGCTGCTGCTGCTGCTGCTGCTGCAGCTGCAGCTGCTGCTGCTCGCGGCGCTGCAGCGCAGCAGCAGCAGCAGCACGTGCTGCTGGATTGCAGCCAACATCGACAATCCAATCGATTGAACGACTAAGGCGGGGAGGCATCTCAAAGGTCTCCTCTGCTGCTGCTGCTGCTGCTGCTGCTGCTGCTGCTGCTTCAGGTGCTGCTGCTGCTGCTGCTGCTGTTGCTGCGGTAGGAGCTTCTTGTTGTTCCGCATCCTGCAGCTGTGGCTGCTGCTGCTGCTGGTGCTGCTGTTGCTGCTGCTCAGCAGCAGCAACAGCAGCAGGAGATCGAAGCTCTACTACTTCCCTAGACTCTTGCCAAGTTACACAACTTGTCTCCTGCTGCTGCTGCTGCTGCTGCAGTTGCCGCTGCTGCTGCTGCAGTTGCTGCTGGTACAGATGCCGCTGCTGCTGGTGCTCCAGTTGCTGCAGCTCCTTAGGCAGCAACTCCCTGTGCAGCAGCTGCTGCAGGTGCTCGCGCTGCAGTTCCTGCTGCAGTGCATGCTGCAGCAGCAGCTGCTGCTGCTGCAGGTGCTGCTGTACTTGTCTACTATGTTCCTCAGCAAGACGTCTTAGTGTGTGCTTCTGCTGCTGCTGCTTCTGCTGCAGCAGCAGCTGCAGCTTCTGCTGCTGCTGCTGCTGCTGCTGCACTATATCTTCTTCATTATAATGTTGTTGTCTCCTACGCTGTCTTGACAACACTTGCTGCTGCTGCTGCTGCTGTTGCTGCTGCTGCTGCTGCTGCTGTCTCACCCTGTGAGGGTGCTGCCTCGAATGCTGGTGCCTGTGTCTATGGTGCTGCTGCTGCTGCTGCTGCTGCTGCTGCTGCTGCTGCAGTCTTAACATTTCTTCGCTTTCTTTTCTTAATGTAGTCATCTTATTATGCATGCGTTTTGCTGCTGGCAGCAAATGGCATTTAATTTGTTTTTTTGCTGCTATGCAAACAGCAGCAGCAGCTTTGCTGCTGCTCTTTATGCTGCTGCAGCAAACCTTTAATACAGCTCTTGTTATTGCTGTGCTGCTGCGTGTTACTGCAGCAGCAGCAGCTGCTGCTGCTGCAGGTTGAATTGTTTCCCTTTGTACCTGATGATGCACCTGCTGATGCTGCACCTGCTGCTGCTGCTGCTGCTGCTGCTGCTGCTGCTGCTGCTGCAGCCATAATGTATAGCGCTGCTGCCAGTCTCTATGCTCCTCCCTCCATGACCAAGCAGCACGCATAAGATCTAGGGGTAGGGAAGGAGACACGGGGATCGTCTCCTCATCGATCCCCAATTGAGGTGCACCTGCACCACCAGCAGCAGCAGCAACAGCAGCATCGGGATCATCATCTGCTGCTGCAGCAACATTTGCTGCTGCTGCTGCTGCTGCTGCTGCTACTGTTGGAGAGGTGCAGCGGGAAGACGGGTATAGAGGTGAGCCAAGATTAGATTGTGCTCTACAACGACGAAAGGGAATTGGTGCTGCTGCTGCTGCTGCTGCTGCAGGAGCAGCAGCAGCAGCAGCAGCAGCAGCAGCAGGATAATTATCCTGCTGCCTATGAAGGGGGGAAAGAGATGCAGGAGACTCTTGCTGCTGCAGCATCTTTTATAAGGAAAAAAGAAAAGAAGAAAGAAGAAATAAAATAAAGAAAATAAAGAAAAAAAGAAACGTCTTCTTGTTAAAGGTGTGCTGCTGCTGCTGCTGCTGCTGCTGCTGCTGCTGCAGCAGCAACAGCAGCAACAACAGCAACAGCAGCAGCAGCAGCAGCTCGATACAGGCAGGCAACAAATAGCGAAGAGAGCAGCGAGCTAGATGTTTGTCTGTTGTATAAAAAAGGGAAAAAGAAGGAAATAAAAAGAAAATAAATTAAATTAAATAAAAATAAATAAATATAAATTAATTTATTTATATTTAGGTGTATATACACCTCATTATGCTAGCTGTATCGATTTGCTGCTGCTGCTGTCGCTGCTGCTGGTCT